CCTACCAAGACAAAATCTCTGTCCAGATTTTCCAAGCAAAACTGCAATGAAGGATCACATGGTTCACATCTTCAACACAAGAATTACAGAAAATGCATAAAGGATCTACAGTAGGATCAAGAACACCAAGAAACAATGAAATTTTTAGTCTGCCTTTCCAAGCTAGCCAACAGGTGAATTGCATCTTAGAAGGAGCAATATTCGTCCATATCGCTCGAGGCACAAAAAGTAAAGGACCAGGATTCAAATTGAACTGATCATAAGTTGATTTCACAGTGAACAACCCGGATACTTCAGCTTTCCAAACCAATCTATCATCCTTGTCGAGCACAACTCTAAATGCCTATTGTATTTTGGTTGTGTTTTCTTTAATCATATACGTTAATTAATAACATCTAATTGTGAAACTTTTGCCCCGGGGATTGGAACTTTTGCTTCCGTAGGCCATTATATGATTGGGAAAAGGCTGAGGCAAACAGGTTGGCAGAAGTGCTTTTGGTGACCCCCCCTATAAGACTGAATGAGGAAGACTGCCCTGTTTGGAATGGTTCTGTTGGTGACAAGTTTAAGGCCTCAGATATTTATCGGTATAGTGATTCCCTCTTGGGCCCTTCTTTCCAACTTTGTAAGTTTGTGTGGAATAATGACATTCCCTCCCAAAGTTCAATTTTTTGGGTGGTTAGCCTGGAGGAATAGAGTGAAAACAGGGGTCTTCTTAAAACATATAGGTGTGCTGAACAATGAGTCTCTTGTGCTATGTGTTTTTTGCAAAGTTGAGAATGAATCTGCTATGCATGTTTTACTTCACTGTCCATTCTCATGGCAGGTATGGTCTGATGTAATGATTTGGTGGGGGTGTATATGGGTGGTGCCAAGGAATATTGACGGATTGTTTCATTGGTGGATAGGATGGAAGTATAAGAGATTAGCTAGGAGATTGTGGAGAGCCTTGCCATGTATTATACTTTGGTCCATCTGGAAGTTAAGGAATGAATGTTTGTTCAGTGGAGTGCAACCATGTGCATTTGAGTTAGGTGAGCTGATAAAGATTAGATTTACTTTATGGGTTAAAGCTGCTATAAAAAAGATCAGGTACTCTGTCTTGGATCTAACCATCAATTTGGCTTAGGTTAAGGAATGCATTTGAGGAAGGCCATGGTTTCTATTTAACTTATAACCTGCTGAGTTTGGATTCTGGACTGGCTTTGGGGTGTATGGTCTGGTATAATCGGCGTATATAATCTGCTAATCTGTGGAGCTGCTGTGTGTATACTGCTGTGTGTTAATCTGATGACTGCTGCTGTGAACCTGCTGTGTGTGTGATGCTGTGTGCTAATTTGTCAGTCCCTGTGGGCTAATCTGCTGCTGTGAATTCTGCTGTGTGTATGCTTCTGTAAGTGGCTATCTCTGTAACAGAGGGGTGTGCTAATCTGTCACTCCCTGTAGGCTAATCTGCTGCTGTGATTTCTGCTGTGTGTATGGTTCTGTAAGTGGTTATCTCTGTTGGTTCCTCACCAACAGGGTTTTGGTTTGGTGATGCCATGTGATGGCTTGCATTTTTCCTCTCTTTTGTTGATGTTTCTTCCTTCTTATAAGGTTTCCATCATCAATAAAGGGATCTTTGTTGTTGATCAAAAAATTAATAACATCTAATTGTATATTTTTATGATATTTTTACATTTGTGTTAATAAAAAATTGATCTTGCAAGTCACATATACTCGTTACAATTTTTATGGTTGCATATACATTGCCCTCAATCCGAAGTTCGAATTATGTGTCTATCCTCACAAATATAAACTTTATCAAATACAAGTGAAACTATACCCATGCAAGTGAAATCTATGAACATAACATAGGCAAAGAAAAATAGAGGAGCTAGTAGTGGCGGGTGAAGATGGAGGAGGGTGGGTATGATAGGAAAGGCTGCTAGATGGACTATTGATAGTGGCTATTTATGGTGTGATGAGAATGCTACTAGATGGAATCTCTTGGTACACTGTTTGTGGTTGCTTTATGGAAAATTTGGAAAAATAAAATCTCCTTTATTTTTGAGAAAAAAACTACTGTGAACCAAGAGAGTTAACTTTATTTTGGATTACTCTAGAGTGATCCACCTGGTTTTCAATAACTCAATAACTAACCCCAAACCATCCTTTAGACTTATTAATTAGGTTTTGCCACCTGCAGGTGGGACTAAACTCAACACTGATGGTTGCAGGAGAGTTGGAGGTGAAGGAGGATTTGGAAGACTGCTTAGAGACGAAAGAGGAGCTTGGGCGTGTGGATTCTATGGTAGATTGCACAGTGTCACAATTCTAGATGCTGATTTGTGGGCCTTGTACAAGGGACTTACTGTCATCCTACAAAAGAGATGAATAAAATGATCATTGAAACTGATGCAACACGGGGTAGTGCAATTAATGGAAGAAGAATCGGGTGATAACTTCCCATTCAAAAACTTGGTGGAAGATGCAAAGATCCTACTCAGGGGCTGTGAATGCACTGTGCAACACACCTTGAAGGAAGGGAACCTATGTGCTGATGCATTAGCTAAATTGGGAGCAGATCAACTAGAAGAAATGTTGATGGTGAATGAACCACCGACTGAAATTAGAAACATGCTAGTTGTAGACATGATGGGCTTTTTTAGGGAAAGGGCAGAGGCCTTGTTGTCGTTTTTCTCATTCCGATGTACTCACAAATATATTTAAAAAGAAAAAGAAAAAGAAAAAAATAGTGGCAAAGGGATTTGTAGCAGTAGTTAGTAAAGCGATTTGTTGAAAAACCAAAAGGGTCATTAGGATAATTTTATCAATCTAAAACTAGCATGGCTTTGACGTTTTTTCCTCCACAAGGCACAATTTTTTTTTAAAAAAAAAACCCATTAATTTGATAATAATTTTATCATTTAGGCTAAGTTTGGGAAGACTAAATAAGTGCACTTTTTGTCTTTTTGGACTAAAAAATTGAGGTTGAAAATATGAATGTTTGGGTTAACTTTTTGACTTTTTATTGAAAAATGTGTAATAAAAAATTGTAAAAATTGATTTGTAGGGACAAATTTGAATTGGGAGTTGTGCAGCCGTAATTGTTGACTTTTGGTGAATAGTGTTAACTTTTTAACTTTTTGAGTAACTTTTTGACTTTTTGGCTTTTTTGGAAGTACCCAAACTTGGCCTTAACATTCACCCTTGTAAGTTTGACTTCTAATTTTATACGTTTATTTTTTGAAACTTTTAGCCTTCAAACGAAGGTAAGGTTGAAGCTTTTTTTAGTTGTTTTAGTCACAAAAAATAAAAAATAAGACAAAATATCACATTCAATTCATAATCATTATATTTTTACTCTCACAAAAAATCTAAAAAAGCTAAAAATTCTTCCCAAATCAAGTTTTTTAGCCTCAAGCTAAAATAACTAAAAAATTTAAAAAGGTAGAAAGCCAACTCACTTCTCAAACGAAGGCTTAATGTGCACATAAGAGTATTGATTAACAAAATATTTTACTGCATAGCACCCATTGATAACATCTTTTGCATTTTATCTAAAATCTCTTTATATGAAAATAAATTGAAACACATATACAAAGTTTAAAAAAATAATAAAAAATCTTAATTCATTTTCTGAAAAAAATATTTTTTCCTAAAAGAATTTATATGAATTTTTTTGAAAATATATTTTTATAAATCAATATTTTTCTATGGCTTGTTTGGAAAATGGGTTGGCTTTTTAACTTTTTGACTTTTTTTAACTATTTTAACTTGGGACTATAAAGTCTAATTTGGAAAAAGGTTTTTGACTTTTTTGACTTTTCTGTGAGAGAAATAATATAATGATTATGAATTAGATGTGATATTTTGTCTTGTTGAACTAAAAAGTCTATTTTATTTTTTTGTAGTTATTTTAGCTACAAAAAAAAAAAAAAAAAAAAATCTTCAAACCCAACTTTCCAAACATAGGCTATATTTGATTGCAAATTTGAATTTAATATCCCAATAATTGCATTGCTGGTGATGAGGGGAGGAAATGGTGCTAGCTATAGAAACATTGATAAGATTTTAATTTTTAAGAAATATTTATTCACTATAAGAGGAATATATTTTTATTCAGATAAATTAATTTTCTTAAGTACTTTTTGTGTGTGCGTGTGTTGAATTTCATATCATGTTGTGTTAATTCACGAAAACACAAAATTTACTTTTAAAAAAACATTTTCATTAAAACAAACGCATAAGAGCAATTTTAGAGTTGGTTTGAGAAGTGAGTTGGTTTTTTGATTTTTTAATTTTTTGGCTATTTTAATTTGAGTTAAAAAGTCTAATTTGGGAAGGACTTTTTGATTTTTGACTTATTTTTGTGAGGGAAGAGTGTAATGATTATGAATTGAATGTGATGTTTTATTTTTTATGACTAAAATTTTTTTTTTTATTTTTTGTGACTAAAATAGCCAAATTAACACTTCCTAAACGGACCCTTAGGAATACGAAAAAAAATTCTAAATATTCACATCAATTTTAAACCCACACCTGTGTAAATGTTTGACAGAAAATTGGAGATTTATAACAATTTTTTGAATGCATAAAAAAAGAAAAGAAATATAAATATATATATATATATATATTTGGAATTGGAAATAGAGGCGTTATTTAGAGAGAGTTTTAAGTTAAAATAACTCATTAAAAAAATAAAATAAACTAAAATAATTAATAAAATAAAAATCATAATTAAATCATAATTATTTCATTTTTTTTTACAATCATCAAATTAATTATAAAAAAATAAATAAACTTTCTAAATATAACTATTTTAATCCAATTAAAATAATAAAAAAATCAAATAATCAATTAAAATAATTAATTCTCTAAACAAAATATCGTGAGAAATTGGAAAGTACAGTTCCCTGAAACCCAAACTCTCTCTCTCTCTCTTTATATGATCAAAAAAAAAAAAAACTCTCTCTCTCTCTCTCCCTTTCCCTTCTTAAAAAGGCAGTACAAAATACACTGCATACTGCCCCACCTTTTCCCCAAATCCCTTCTCTCTCTCTCTCTCTCTAACCAACAACTGCAAACCGCCCTCTTTCCCCTCTCTCTCTTCTCTCTCTCTCTAACAAACAACAGAAAATCAGACACTTCCTCCCATCCCCATCTCTCTTCTCGCTCTTCAGCCAATTTTCCATTTTCCTCCACCTGTATTCCCTCTCTGTCTTCTTGCTCTCTCACCAACTCCATGAAATCTTAGCTCCACCACACAAAAAAAAAAAAAAAAAAAACAAGAAGAAGCTCATAGATGGGTAAGTACATGAGGAAGGCTAAGACTTCAGGTGACCTAGCTCTCATGGAGGTTGGCCAGTCCTCTCTCGGCGTTCGGACCCGAGCCCGAACCCTAGCTCTCCAGAGGCTCCAGAAATCGGCGGCTGCTGCTTCCTCCGGTGGTGGGTCTTATCTCCAGCTCAGGAACCGGAGGCTCGAGAAACCCCCAATCTTTGTTGATTCGAAGAGGCAGAAGCAAAACCCTAAAGAGGCTTGCTTGCAAAACCCTAACCCTAACCCTAATTCGAGTTCTAGATTAAGGGTGGGTTCTTTGAATTCTGGGTCTGGTGGGTCGGTATCGATTGATTGTTTGAAGAACAAAGAGGGTGGGGCTAAGGAGGAAGAGAATCAAGGAAACAAAAATGTTGATGTGGGTGGTGCTGAAACTTCGTTTGGAGAAAATGTGCTGGAATTTGAAGGTACAGAGAGGTGGGTTTCTCGTTTAACTGGGTTTTTTTTTTTTTTTTTTTTTTTTTTTTTTTTTTTTTTTTTTTTAAAAAGCGTCATTCTTTGATCACAGTTACTTTTCCCCAAAAGGGGTTTTCTTTGCGCTGTTTGGTTGCTGAGAAAATGTGGGAAAAGGACGAAATAAACATTTTTGAACCTATGTTTTGGAGATTGTTTTTGTGTGTGAAAATGGGCTTTCTTCGTTCTTTATACCGTGGAAAATGGTACTGTAAAGGTCGATTTTATGCCCTGTTTGGCTGTGGGAAATTGTAAAAAAGATAAACAATTAAAATTCATATATATTTTTATATTTGCATGGGGAAATTTTTCTGTGGTTTGAGAAAGGAGAGTGGGTTTTTAATTTGGTTTTAATAGTTTCGTGTCAGGACTATAGTTTTTTAAGTTGGTCTTTCGTTTGGAGCCTTCGTTCCTGCTCTGTTTGGTTGCTGAGAAAATGCAGGAAAATGGAACCAAATCTTATTTTCCCATTGTTTTGGAGTGTGCGGAAAGATGTAGGATCCTTTTGTGGGTTTATTGTTTAAAATCCATGTTTACCAATTAGGTCCTCCTGCAAGTACTTTGGTGGAAATTGGAAATTGGAGTTTTGAATATATTTATACTTCTTGTTTCCTTTTTCTTGTTTTCATTTATCTCTGTTTAGCCTGAGGCAAAGCGCTTTCACGCACTGTTTGGCTGCTGAGAAAAAGTTGGGTAAGAAAAGAAACTATGCTCTACTTTCTTTTGGATTGTTTGGAGGCAGGGACTTTTACTCCTAAGATAACTATTCTTGATTAAGTTGATGTCCTCTGTTTATGTTGCTTAGAAAACAATTTCCATTTTACTCTCTCTTTCCCAGGTGGATTGGTTCTTTTAGAATAGCATTCGAGAACCTAATAATTATGTGGTTGTTTGTGTTTTCATTTTTACTTTCTGGTGTAAGTGTCTCAGAATTGTTGTTGATTTATTCGAACTTCTCTGTTATGTTTTTCATGTTTTTTTCCTTTCATTGATGACTTGTCTAGTAAAACAGTAGTAGTGCTAAGGAACTTCTTTATGATGATCATCATTCCCTCACCAATATGTTGTTCTCTCTTAATTTTTTGTAGCTCTTTCCCCTGATCTGTCTCCATCACTTAGTGGAGTGAAAAATAAGTTGAAAACATTTTTGTTTCAGAGACATATTCAGCATCCCTTAATATCCATTTTCATAGTTTGGAATATTTCTCAAAATTGTTTAGTGTCTTGAGATGAAGCAGTTATTTTAGTTCATTATCTGGTCCCCATTCCAATTAACTATTCCTCCTGGTTTGCCTACTATACAGTGTTTTTATGAACATTTGCCCAATTTTTGAGTAGCTTTTTTTTTTTTTTCCTTTTTCTTTTTCTTTTTCTTTTTCTTTTTTGGGTGCATTGGAGGGGATGGGGGGAGTCAAACTTATGACCTCCTAGTGAGTGACTATTTTTTCTGGAACATCGATGGTTTTAATATTTGGCATTTGTGTTTTATGTCTGAAAAATATATATTTGTGTCTCCTGCATCATGGTGTTATTTTTCGTTAATCTAAATGAAAATTCGTTTCCCTTTGTGATATATCTTTTAAGTGGGGTTTTTTGTGTGCTTTGGGAGAGATTATCTATGGGTTAGTATTTGGAATAGAACTCATATGAAAATTGTTTCTGTCCTTGAAGAAATGGCTTTAAATCTGGGTATTAAAGAATTGAAAGGTTGGAAGATTCTGGTTCTTGGTTGCTCCTCTGTATATACTGATCTATTTCAAGTTTTATTTATTTTTTGATAAATAAAGATAGTATTGTATTGTTATATCAGTTTCAAGATTTTACATTGGCTTTTTGCTTGACTGTGGTTTATAAAATGGCTAATTATTAGAAAATCGTTGTATTGAAGTGTGTGTATATATATTAAGAAGATCATATATACATGTGTATTGTCAAAATCAAAAACAATATATACATGTGTATTGCAGCCTTTTTGCAGGAATCTTGGTGATTAAATCATTTCCTAGTGGAAAAAGGTTTCTCATTATTTTCACATAAGCATGATCAAATGCATTTGGTGTGTTGTCTTTTTGAAGTGCAAAATTATAAATGATTAGTAGGGCCCCACTTCATAATTGGAGCAGTGGTTCAGAGATGAAAAATAATGTGCTCTGATGCCATGACTACCGAAGTTAAAGCTTTCAGCTTTTAGTTATTGGCAGCTTGCTAATGGCTTATAAATTTCTTTCTATATCAATGTTAGTTGCAGAAAGCTTAGTATCAGTTCTCATGGTACAGGAGACAGTTGATTCATTCATAGCTTTTTCTTGTTTTTTCTCTCTCTCTCTCTCTCGCTCTAGATGTTAGTTTGATTGTAAAAAGAAATACACATTATCTTACAGGTGCACCAGGGAAAGCACACCTTGCAGTTTGATAAGAGATCCAGAGAGCATAAGAACCCCTGGTTCTACTACTAGGCCTACTTGTTCAACTGAGGCCAACAGGAGAGTGCAGAATCCCATGCCAAGGCCCATCCCGACCGCCCATGAAATGGATGATTTCTTTGCCGGTGCAGAAAAACAGCAACAAAGACAATTTATTGAGAAGTAATTCCATATTCTCACTCAATGTGTCAATTTTATGATTTTGTTTGTTTGTTTTTTGTTTTCTTGCTTGCCCACATGTTTTATGTCTCTCCCAAATGGAATTCTTTTGCAGGTACAACTTCGATCCTGTGAATGATGAGCCCCTCCCCGGACGTTATGAATGGGTGAAAGTGGATCCATAGGTGTCATCAAGACTTCTTCTCCTGCAAATCCTCTGCTGATCGTTAACTTAGCCTAGTTGAAAACAGTTGTTTTAGTTTTCATGGTGATGGTGGTATTTTCCATTTCCCATCACCTTTCTTAACTTGTAAAGAAATTAGGGCTGTTACTTATCCCCAAAAAAAAAGAAAAAGAAAAAGAAAGTAGGGCTGTCAATGGTTAGTAGTGTAGACTAATGATCTGTAACATAACAAAGCTTGTGAGTAACATAACAAATACAACAAGGTCCTTTGTCTAACAGATCATCTAGAGAGGGGAAGGGAAATAGGGTTTTTAGGGTTAGGGTTCAATGAATTAGATCAGTCTTAGCTGGTACAGAAATTTACTTGGTTTTGGTTTTGTTTTTGTCAGTGTCCTGTATTTTCCTCCCCTTTGTTGTCTATACTTGTAGTGATGGAACTCTTTGGAATAATTATAATCATGTACCCATTTCCCCCCCACTTATATGTTTTTGTCTTGGTCTCACTCGTCTTTTTATATTTTGCATAGTTCTTCTATGGCCTGTTTATTTTCACATAAATGTCATGTATATATATATATACATCTAAATTATAGGGGTGTTTGGTATTGACTTATGGAGCTGTTTATATATATATATATATTTGTTTTATAGAAATTTGTCTGAAGTGTTTGATGTAGTTTCGGCTTTCAGATTGTGAAGCAAATATAAACAAGCTGAAAAAAGTTTATGATTGAGAAACAGGGAAAGTTGCTTTGAATTTATGTTTTTTTGATTATTAGCTTTAACTTGTTCGAAGCTGCACTAAACAGATTCTTTGTATAGTGTAGGCTACACTTAATATGAATACGATCTATACATTTTAAATTTGAAACAATTTTGTAAATACATGTATTTGTATTTGTTTTTGTGTAAGTATGTAACATTTGTGTTATCTTCTTCATGTGAGATGCAATGAAGCTTTCATAAACTTTTAGATGTGTTTGGCCCTTCACTGTGGTATGAGGCCAAAATGATTGTTCACTGACCTTACTAATTGTTTTTTTAGGTTATTGTGAGAATGGTTGGTGATGTTACTAATAGTGGCCTTCTTTGGCAAGGGGTTTTTGAATATTTTTTTTTTTTTGTTTGGGAGTTAAAATTTATAAAAAGATAAAATAAGTTAAAATAAGCCGTGTTTGGCAGGAGGTTTTTGAATTTTTTTTTTTGTTTGGGAGTTAAAATTCATAAAAAAGATAAAATATGTTAAAATAGTTAATGAGATAAAATGTCACATCTTATTCATAATTATTTTATTTTTTTTCCGTAAATATCACATTCACTTATAAAAATTCAATCATCTTTTTAAATATAAAAATTTTAATTTATTAAAATAATTAAAAATTAAAATAATATATTAAAATAATTAACTTTTCAAATGAATTCAATATGGTATTGTAATGGGGGTGGTATGATAATGGGAGTGGTGGAGGTAGTAGTGGTGGGGTAGGATTTGTCTGTAGACATGCATGTGTATTTTAGAAGAATCTTGTCTGGCACCATTATCTTGTCTAGTTTATACTTTTTCTGCATGAGACAAATACATACTTTGTCAGAGGCTTGGGAAATGCTAGCAATGGTGTAGATAAGAATATGTGGTTTTTGAGGAAGAAATCAGAATACTATCAATTGTTATCCTTGAGATGTTGCATAAGGGGCTTAAAATACAATAATGCCATCACGAGGACATTTGTTATCCTTGAGATGTTGCATAAGGGACTTAAAATGCAATAATTCCAACATGAGAACATTTGTTATCTTTTTGTTTTTTGGGTGAGCAAGTCATAAATAAAAACAAAAGATTTATAAGATTATAAAGGGCATATTCTAGGACCTAAAGCAGCTAAAAACCAAAACCAACCAAAAAGACGAAACTGTTCAATATCCATATTCCAATCAAAAGATAGGGAACATGAACAGAAACATAATCTAGACCAACTTAACCATTGGCACAAGCCTAATACAAAACTATTCAAGAATAGAAATATAATCTAGACCAGCTAAATACAAAACTGTTCAAGAACACCAATGTAACCATTGGCTCAAGCCTTAGACCAACTCAAGGAACACGAAGGAAAACTGTTACAAACCCAAATATCACACTTATACAAAACATCCCAGTTGTAAGAACTGAAAGAAAAAAAACCCATAAAATGTTACAACCATTACAAAAAGTAAAAGGAAAGACAGTATTTTCCATGTGAAGGAACTCCAGTTAAACTGGCGCAGCAATGCAGCCTGGTCCTGGTAATCCTCTGACAAGCTATAGCCTCAATGGGGACAACACAGTGCTTACTCCACCACTGATTAGAGTAACCTGGGAAAACCAACAGCACATATATAAAACAATGAAAACAGCAACACCTATAACACTGTATTGCACAAAGCTCACAATATATATGAGCTAAGTCACTCAACTCACACTGTACACACAACTCAACAAAGACTAATAACAGTGATAGGTATTCGGGAGTAACCATGGACTCTCTGAGAGAGAAATAAAAAAACTACAACAATTTATAGCTCACAAATCTCAACCCAAAACAATAACATCCCTTACCAAGTACTAGCCAGTTGTCAAAACTTGCAGGTAAATAAATAAGTTAGCACTCTGTATATGGCTAACATCACTCAACCCTCTTATAGTGACCTCACATCCCTCAAAGAAAAGATTCCACATGTTACACCTGCAAACAAAAACCACATTAGAAAATAGATTAAACATGAGCCTCACTATAGGAACTCACCAAACTCAACCCACCGTATTTTTTTGCAAATGGTTTTTTCACGTGTTTTTTATTTTTATTTTTATTTTTTTTCATTTTCTGTGAAATGATAAAAAGTGAGGTTTTATTTTATTGTCCTGTGTATTTTAATTTTATTTATTTTTTTGCAAATGGTTTTTTCATGTGTTTTTTATTTTTATTTTTATTTTTTTTTTCATTTTTTGTTAATTGTTAAAACGACCGCGTGTACTATTCGCCTCATTCTTCTTTGTTTAACTTTGGGTTTGCCTTATTAGAGTGTTGAAAATGGCTTGCTACTCGTAAGTAGGCTAAAATGCAGGTTTTGCCACCCTCAAGTGGGCTTTAGAAAAGATGGTTTTGCCACTATCTAGTGGGCTTAAAACTCACAGTTTTAATGAATTATCCCAATTTAAGCAAGTCGACCTTCATCCACAGGCATTCAAACAGTTTATCACGTAAGCAGCTAGCCTCATGGTAATCATGCTATTATGTCAACACTCACACGCATGCGGTATGCTAAAGCGTAAATGCTTACCTAGTACTCTGAGCCAAAACAAAAGCTAGTTAGTAATCAATGCATGATCCTAGCTCATGTTATGATGGCTAATGCAACACATACAAGATGCAACTACAATAGGCTCGGCTATTCTAAGATGGCATGTGATGATGCTACAACTAACATGTATTTAGCTTTGGAATTGAAATACAAATGCAGTTAGTATGATACGCCGAACCCGGTGCATGTAAGACAAATGTATGGATGCACGCATGCTATCATACTGTATGCTAATTGAAACATGCCCTAGGCTAACCATTGAAAGCTAGTAAATAAAAGGGAAGAAAGACGTGGGGTTGGGAGACATACACACACTCACGGACGCTTATTATACAATTGCCCTCGCTTAGAGGGTCCGAATAAATATTACAAACCACCTAATTAATTAACTCTCAAGCTAAATAATTAATTACAAAAATTTCTAATTAATTAACAAATTAAATGCAGAAGAAAGGTGGCCACAGCCCCGCCTCGAGGTGCGTGGACGATGTATGCTTGACTCGTCTCGCCCGGAAATTCGTTGCCATAACACTGTTGCCTCTGGTTGCACTGCCCTGCTCCTCTGAAAATTCTCACAAGCCCCAAGGATGCTTATATGGACATTGGGGAGCATCACCGACCGAGTGGAGACATCATCGGCCAAAGGGGATGGTCACCGGCCACTGATCAAGCTTATCGGCCACAAATTATTGGTCGGTCGGCACTCCTGGTAGCCGACCGGCCAAAATTTCCTGCAGAACTTGCAGTTGACAGCAGCAGAGGGCAAGCAGTGTATGGCATGGAATTTTTTTGAGCAAATGTGAGCATGGACACACTCCCTATCATGCAAGGGACTCAAGGGAGCATGACCCTCGACCCTCGACCCTCGGCCCTCGGGCCATCAATTGCGCATTTCGACGCATGATGGCCTAAGAGGCCAAGTTTGCAATTCAATGTGAATGAATGCAACAAAAGAGATGAGTGCCAACACCCTGTCATATTGAAGTCAAGGGCATTGGCTACCGAGGGTTGAGATGTGTTTTGTCACTTGGAGTACGGACACTACTCACCCCTCAAGTTTGGTTTGACATCCCAAACCAAACAATGCAATGTATGTATACAAACTTGGCTCAAAGATGCAACATGAGGCTAAGATGCAAAACATGCCAAATGTGATGCAGGCTAAACATGCAAATGAACAATGCTAGGCATGTAAGATGCAATGCAATGCAATGCAATCAAACATGTAAGCTAAGACATGAAATGCAACTAGCTAATAATATGCAAGCATGCAAGTATGATACAATGCAAACATGAAACCAATGCAACATGATCATGCAATGGTGGACCTAAGACACAAAGGGCAGACCTCAACCCACTCCCAAAACAGTAACCAAAAATGCCAAAAAGGATGGATAAATGTTCACGCAAACATGCATACTAATAGGCCCAAAATAAGGAGCATTCTACTACAACTACCCCAAACACTCATGACATGCATCGTGCAACCAAAAACAGAGTTTTAATGTACCAAAATAAGTCCCAAAACCCACTGTTATGGCAACTCAAAGCCTAAAACACATAGGCATGTACAATGCTCATTTCAAGGCACAACAAAACAACTCCCCTAAAGCATGAAAGAGATGATGAGTGTATGCATACAAGTATGATTTATGGACTGAAACATGGTCCCTAATGATTCCAAATCATGAGAATAAGCTAGGCTAAGCATGCTAGAGACCCACATGCTCAAGGCTCACAAGCCAAAATGCAAAGAGGCTACCCTAAACATGGCAAATATGATTAAAACAGCCCCCAACAGTCCTTGAGCATGGCAAAATAATGCTAAGACCTTCATGGAGTTAAGCTAGAGCATGCAAGAATCATGGCCTAAATGCATGCCTTACTTCTAGGCAAAATAGAGGAATGCAAGGCAAGTATACTATGCATGTAAGGGACCACAAATTTGACCAAAAACAGAGGCAATAAGTGACCAAATAATATCCAAAAATGTCTGAAATGGGGCCAAATACAACCAAGCATACATGCTACCCTTATGAGCCAAAAATGAGGGCAAAAGAGAGATAAAGGGAGAGGGGTGTCCCTCCCCTATGCAAGACCTCAAAACCTCTTCTTTACCACTGAAAAAATAGTATACTAAAATAGTTAACTTTTCAAATGAATTCAATATTGTATTGTAATGGGAGTGGTATGATAATGGGAGTGGTGGAGGTAGTAGTGGTGGGGTAGGATTTGTCTGTAGACATGCATGTGTATTTTAGAAGAATCTTGTCTGGCACCATTATCTTGTCTAGTTTATACTTTTTCTGCATGAGACAAATACATACTTTGTCAGAGGCTTGGGAAATTCTAGCAATGGTGTAGATAAGAATATGTGGTTTTTGAGGAAGAAATCAGAATACTATCAATTGTTATCCTTGAGATGTTTCATAAGGGGCTTAAAATGCAATAATGCCATCATGAGGACATTTGTTATCCTTGAGATGTTGCGTAAGGGACTTAAAATGCAATAATGCCAACATGAGAACATTTGTTATCTTTTTTTTTTTTTTTGGGTAAGTCATAAATAAAAACAAAAGATATACAAGATTATAAGGGGCATATCCCAGGACCTAAAGTAGCTAAAAAAACAAAACCAACCAAAAAGACGAAACTGTTCAATATCCATATTCCAATCAAAAGATAGGGAACATGAACAGAAACATAATCTAGACCAACTTAACCATTGGCACAAGCCTAATACAAAACTATTCAAGAATAGAAATATAATCTAGACCAGTTAAATACAAAACTGTTCAAGAACACCTATGTAACCATTGGCACAAGCCTTAGACCAACTCAAGGAACACGAAGGAAAACTGTTACAAACCCAAATATTACACTTATACAAAACATCCCAGTTGTAAGAACTGAAACAAAAAAAACCCATAAAGAGTTACAACCATTACAAAAAGTAAAAGGAAAGACAAAGTATTTTCCATGTGAAGGAACTCCACTTAGACTGGCGCAGCAATGCAGCCTGGTCCTGGTAATCCTTTGACAAGCTATGGCCTCAATGGGGACAACACAGTGCTTACTCCACCACTGATTAGAGTAACCTGGGAAAACCAACAGCACATATGTAAAACAATGAAAACAGCAACACCTATAACACTGTATTGCACAAAGCTCACAATATATATGAGCTAAGTCACTCAACTCACACTGTACACACAACTCAACAAAGACTAATAACAGTGATAGGTATTCGGGAGTAACCATGGACTCTCTGAGAGAGAAATAAAAAAACTACAACAATTTATAGCTCACAAATCTCAACCCAAAACAATAACATCCCTTACCAAGTACTAGCCAGTTGTCAAAACTTGCAGGTAAATAAATAAGTTAGCACTCTGTATATGGCTAACATCACTCAACCCTCTTATAGTGACCTCACATCCCTCAAAGAAAAGCTTCCACATGTTACACCTGCAAACAGAAACAACATTAGAAAATAGATTAAACATGAGTCTCACTATAAGAGCTCACCAAACTCTAACCCACAATATGAATCTCTCAAACACTCAACCCTCAGTTGATAACACTTCTCTCAATTTTAAGGATGGTTGGAGGCAACCTCCACTCTTGCAAAAACCAGTTATCAGATTGAGACTGCTGAGAGAGAGAGCTCTATATCTAACCATGTAGAGAATGGCCTTCAAAATGATCTCCTCAGGTTTCTTATCATTGCTGAAAATTCTGTTATTTCTTTCTAACCACGTTTGATACACAGTGCAATAGAAAGCTAGTCTTTTGATAATTGTGGCAAGGGATTTACCCTTGCAATCCCTGGCCACAACCTCAACATGACCCAGCCAAGTAGTGCTATGCCAGTAGTTGCATTCAGCTTGCACAGCCAACCACACTTTGGATGAATGGATACATTTGAAAAACAAGTGGTCATGGTCATCCTCAAAGGACCCACACAGAGGGCAACTGTGACTACGGCTAATGCCAAAATTAGCAAATCTATCACCCATATTTAACCTTCTCAGAATAGCCAACCAAACGATAAAACCCACTCGAGGAATAGAATAGGGATTCCACACAAGATTGGCCCAGTAAACAGTAGGCCAATTAGATCTCCAAGTATGCCAAGCAGACCCAATGCTAAACTTACCATCCTTTTGAGGGAGCCAAATAATTTTATCATTATTTCCCATGGAAGGAGTAAGGTCAGGAGGAGTGTGAGCAAGGATTTCCTTCACAACCCAAGAGGAAGCATTAGGCCAGCACCAACCATCGTCTCTCACAACAAAAGCCACTTTAGACTGAACATTTAAGGCAGTGTCGTACACCAATCTATTACCATACCTAGCCCAAAGGGAGCCAAAAGGATGCTAATTATCATGCTACAGAAAGGCATCAACCCCATTGCCAATCTTGCATTTGATTAAAGGGAACACAGACTCCCTCATAGATAAGAGTTTCCTCCACACCCAAGAAGGGTCACAAGGAACCTTAACTTCCCAGAAGCTATGGCCTCTTAACAAATAGGATTTCACCCATTGACACCACATGAATTGCTCACTACCAGATATCAAAAACCAAGCATGCTTAGCCACCGCAGCTTTATTTCATATAGTCATAGACTTGAAACCTAAACCACCTTCATTTTTAGGGGCACAAACTCTATCCCAAGTAACCTTAGCACCAATATTCTTAAGGTCAAGACCAGACCAAAGGAAGGACTTACACAAAGCTTCCACCTCCTTAATAACTCTCTTAGGAAGAATGAAAAGAGAGGACCAGTAGACTTGCATGGAGAAAAGGATAGTGCTAATCAATTGGGCCCTCCCAGCATAAGATAGGGTTTTATTAGTCCAAGACTTGATCCTGACAGAAATCCTAGTTACAAGACTCTGGCAATTAATAGCTTTAAGTCTAGTGGGAATGAGGGGAACCCCTAAATATTTCACAGGGAGATGACCCTCCTGAAATTGGGTAATCCTTAAGATATCATTTCTAAGGGAGTCATCACACCCAGAGAAAAAAACATGGCTCTTCTGAGGATTAAGAGCAAGGCCAGAGAGGAATTGAAATTCCATAGGGCTTGTCTTGAAAAGTTGAACAGAGGGGACATGCCCTTTGCAAAAGACCATAAGGTTATCAGCAAAACAGAGGTTAACAATTCTATTTTTCCCACATCTCCAATGAAACTTAAATTGAGGGTTTTAGGATGTCTCATTAAAGATCCTAGCTAGAATTTCCATGTCTCATTAAAGATCCTAGCTAGAATTTCCATGACAATGACAAAAAGATAGAGAGACATGGGATCACCTTGTCTCAAACCCCTAGCCCCATGGAAATGCTTGTGAAGGCTTCCACTAATACAAATGGAAAAAGTAGCCGAAGTAACACAAGCTCTGATCCAGTGTATCATTCTAGTGGGAAAAGACATAGCGTTGAGCACATCAAACAAGAAGTCCCACCTGACATTATCATAGGCTTTCATTAAATCAACTTTCATAGCACACTTAGGAGAGGGTGTCTTTTTGTGATACCCCCTCATAAGTTCTTGGGAGAGGAAAATGTTATCAGCAATTCTCTTGCCTTGGACAAAAGCCGACTGGACAGGATCAATAATGTCAGGAAGCACACCCTTAATCCTATTAGCAATAATTTTAGTAATTAATACACTTGTAAATGGTGTTACAGCAGGATATAGGTCTATAATCTCCTACCTTAGTAGGATTGGGAACTTTAGGAACCAAAGCAATAGTAATACTATTAATCTCCTTCAGTAACTCACCGGAGTCAAAGAATGACTTAATGGCAAGAGTACATTTGTTATCCTTGAGATGTTGCATAAGGGACTAAAAATACATTAATGCCATCATGAGAACATTTGTGTTTTCAAAAGTTGTTTGGGTTACTGTGTTACTGGTGGTAATTCGAACTATGTCCAAGATTTTATAAATTTAAAAAAGAAAATATTATAATTATTTTGATATCATTTAATATTTTATTTTGTGATATATATGAAATTTGTAAATTTATAAGTTAATTTTTATGTTTATAACTTTTTAAATTATTAGTTTAAAAAAATTTAAAAAAAATATATATATAAATCTATTTAGTGCAATTTTGATAATTTGTATTAAAAAAATTTAAACCTGATTAACTAAAGTTAAATGAGTTATGACATACCTCTCTTTTTTTATGAAAATATACAAATTTAAAAGTTATAATTAAGACAAATATACAATTTTATTATTAAATGTGAAATGAATTGATATTTAACAATAATTGATATGATGTTTCTATTATTAATCCAAAATTTAAGTTACATTTCTTTTGATTTCAATTTCATAATTAAAAATAAAATATGAATATAATATGCACATGGATTTCTAATCTTTAAGAATAAGATGGTTTCAGAATATTTTCAATATTTCATCATTTTCTTTCAATTTTATTTTATTTGATTTGATTTTAAAATTGAATAAAAAAATTGATTTGATATGAATTACTTAACTTTTTCATTCAATTTTTATCAATTTTTAAAACAACTCTCATTCTTATCCGGATTTTTTTGTTTCTTTTCATCAATTCTGATGGAAAAAACAATTCACTTTGTTTGGTTTCAGTTTTCAGAATTCACTTTTCAGAAAATATTACTTTTTTATGTTTCCATATATATATATATACATATATTGTTTTCATTGAATGTTTTTTTAATATTTTAAGCAATTTTTAAAATTTTTAGACATACCTAATATAAATACACTTCAAAAGTATAATATTTATGAAAAAATTCACTAATATCAAAAATATAATATATATATATATACAAATTCAGTACATTTTTCTTATTTTTGTGTATTTATTAATTTTTAAAAATAATTTTTCACAAATATTTTACTATTTAGATATATCTAAGTAAGGTGCATCTAAAAAATTAAAACAAAATACTTAAAATTTTAAAAATATTCACTAAAGAAAATGAAAAATAAAAAATTCAATTTTTAAAAAAACTGAATTCAAAAAATTAAAACTAAACACACTAATTTAATTTCCAAGACTTCATCTTTTTAAATTTTTATCAAATTATAATCTGATAAAAAAAATATTAAGGGTTGAAGATTCTCTTAATTGGAATTATAGTGAAATAATATCATCAAATAGGGAAAGTTCGAGTATGTGGTTGGTTAAAATATATAATTTGATTAATTGTCTTCTCATATTTGTATAAAAATTAACACTTATGACCACATCATTATAAGTCTGATTATGAAAAGGTTTTTGAGGTGTCAAACATTTTTCATTTATAAATATCCTACCTATTAAAAAAAGAAAAAGAAAAAAAATGTGTAGCTTTTGGGTGTTTATCAAGTTTGTTTTATAGACATAAACATCTGATGTTCCAATTTAAAAAATTAAAAAGTAAAAAAAAAAATTGATTGGATTTTTTGGGGATAAAAGAAGCCATCTAACTCCTCTATATATTATTTAAGATCAACTATTTTAATCATATAAAAAAATAGAAATTATATTTAGAGATATATTATGCTATTAATATATATATATATATATATGAAAAGTTATACTAAGATTTGATTTTCAATTGATTTAATTATAATTAACAAACTAACAAATAGCAACAATGGTATAATGTGATAGAAGGAGGATAAAAATAAAGAACACAATGAGATTTAAAAGTTTTAAATTTACATAGTTATACAAAAATCTAATGTTATAGTAAAATCTTAAATTCCCAATAAATTTTCACATTTTCTATAAAATAAACCGATAATAAAAAATAAAAAAAAATTGTTACCCATTTTGTTTACTTCAATGACATTTAAATTTTTTTAATTTACCTATAATAAAATCTAATATTATAATAAAATTTTAAATTCCGAATAAATTTTCACATTTTCTATAAAATAAAATGACAAAAAAAAAATTGTGTTACCCATTTTTTTTACTTCAATTTTATAGTCTTTTTTGAAGAAAACAAAATCCGATCAAAATCCTTGGCACAGATCGGGTATAGATATTTCGATTACAACCATCATTACTAATATTCTTCTCCACCATACAAATCTGTAAACAAACACATAAGTCTCACTAAAATCGAAGCTAAAACCGTAAAATGAAAAAAAAAAAAAAAATTGTGTTACCCATTTTTTTTACTTCAATTTTATAGTCTTTTTTGAAGAAAACAAAATCCGATCAAAATCCTTGGCACAGATCGGGTATAGATATTTCGATTACAACCATCATTACTAATAATTCTTCTCCACCATACAAATCTGTAAACAAACGCATAAGTCTCACTAAAATCGAAACTAAAACCAAATCAACAACAGAGAAAGAGAATCACACAGGGAAAAAAATAATAATAAATTTATGAAATGGTAGGATGTTATCTCCAATAATTTAAACCTTGCCCAACCTAATTCCCCAGTTCGTACGAAGTCTAAAAGTTGGGATGACTAATCAGCTTATTTTTTAAATAAAACTTAAGTGTTTAAAATTTGGATAGATATACATCCAAATATATATATATATATATATAATTATATTACTAAATCATAATTCAAATTTAGATATTGTCATATCTTTTTGAGATTTATATCTAAATTCTTATTTTCTTTATTTTTGTGTTTTTTTTTTCAATTTATTAAGGGTAAATTATATTTACCTCCTCTCAGATTTCTGACAAATACAGGAACCTCCCCTATGGTTTGAATAATTACAGTAACCTCCCATACTTTACCTGACAATGTCAAGATTCCCCCAAACCGTCAATTTTGCACAAACAACGCTACTTTCCTATACAAAATGACCATATTACCCTTTTATTTAAGCGCAAATTTAATTTATTTGTGGTTTTTATTTGTTTTTAATTATTAGTATTTAGGTAAATTATGATGTGAATCAGATATGTGATAGACATGTGAGTTTTATTGATTTAAAGTATGATAGTAGGAGATATTTTAAAATTAGATTTGTTTAGATAGACTTTAAAGTTTTTTAAAATTTAAAATTGGATATTGAGAGGCAAACGAAAGATTTTAACTGAATAAATAGAAATCAAATTTATTAATTTTTTCTATTTGTATATTTGATTTTTAATTATATTTTTTTTGTTATGTTATAATATAATATATAAGATATAAACAGATACCCACAACTCTCATGAAAAATATTATCTGATTTTTTGGAGGAGAGAGAGAAGGAATGCAAGTTTTAATATTTTCTTTTGAAAATCAGTGAGAGAGATTAGGACGGAGAGATTATGAAATATTTTTGTTATCTTTTCATTTGAAATTCATAAATCAACCAATAGTTTTTTTTAATTTATTTTATAAATTGAAAAATCAATAATTTTAGAATAAGAGTTTGGAGCTCTTAGCAGGCTTCTCATTAGAAACCCCCTTTTGCTTATATAATGTACTAGCATAGGAACCTCTGCGACGCACATGCTAAATAAATAATTAAAAATAATTTTAAAATTAAATAATAGCATAGAATTTATTTTAAAATATAGAAAAATAATTTAGAATGAAATAAATTTTAACTATTTTATTAGAATATATATTACAGTTGTTATGTTATTAATTGTATATTTGAAATTCACAATAAGAAATAGATGTAATAATTTAATTGGTAAAGATAAAAAAAATAGAATAAATTTTTTAAGATTATATTTCTGATAAAATAAAAGTAAAGTTTGTTTTATAAATTTTTTAGTTTTAATTTATTCCATGTTAAAGTTTGTCATAGTGTTTAAACATACCTTTTAGAAATAAAATAATATATATGTTGATAAAATCATTAAAATCGGTCAAAAAACC